AGAGCCCATGCACCTGGCCACTATTTAATTAAAGTTTGCTTCAAATTTGGCTTTAAATTGTGGTAGTCATCTTATTATTGACCATCTTATTATTAACATTTCCTGGATCCCCCCAGAGAGATTCAGACCATCTATCGAAAATTCTAAAGCTAGACTTTCCCTCTGGAACTCTGGGGCTGGGGGGCTGCTTCAGGGGGCATGTGCCTTGAGATGGTCCAAGGCTCAGAGCCACCTTTGGTATGTGGATTTTCAGGGTGAACTCCCACGCTGAGAAAAGCAGCAAGCATCTGAGGAGGCCTCCTGGTGAGTCATAGTCGGGTTCTGTTTTGTGGGATGCCTGGGAAGTGGAGGGGCTTCAACAGGACCCCAACATTCTCCCATCCAGGACAAATAGCGAGATGTCACACACATACCTGGTTCTGGTTTTGGTTGGAAACTTTTGTCTGTGTCCCAGGGAAGGCTTTGTCTGTCTGTTGGAAAGTTGTGTCTGCCTGCTTTGTTGGGAAGTTTTATCTCTCTCTGTTTTTCTGGGTATCTGTAAGTTTTATTGCAAGCATAGGGCTGAGACAGAAATAGGTCAGACATTTTTGCTGTCTCTGCTGCCAGTAGTCTCCAGCTGCCACAGCCACCATGGCTGCTCCTACGGCCAGGGCTCAGAATCTATCCCTGGGCTCTCTGCCCACAGGTCATCAGGCGTTCAGATGTCCTTTGGGCGTGAATAACAGTAAAGTTGTTTTATGCTGTTTTATTTTATTGGAAAGCTGGAGCTAGAGTTGGCTTATGGCTCTTCCTTCTCTATTTAAAAGTTTCCTCTGTGTCCTGTGTCAGCTGACTCACCTTAGACCACGACAGGGAAAAGAAAGTGGATCAGTCCAAAAAAATTAGATTTGGTTTATGTGAACATTCTGTACCTCAGTATTTATACGTTTATTTTACTGGATATGGCTAAAAGTCTATGGAATCTATGAAAAAAGTTAACTTAAAACTACTAACAGTGGGGGTTGAGAGTTAAAACTCTATGCACAGGTAATCCCCCC